ATGCGGTCTAACGGAAGGAGTTGGTACTGTGGCGCTCCTGCCCACAGGTGAGAACAGTATTCCATGTGTGGCCTCACTTGAGCTTTATACAGTTTCAGGCGGTTTTCTGGCGTGAAATACCGTCTCACCCTATTGAGCACCCCCAACTTTTTGGAAGCTATCTTAGCTTTTTCCTCCAGATGACCGCAAAACTGGACGTCGCTAGATATATCGACGCCAAGAATCCCCAGACTCGACTTATTATCAAGGGAAGTGCCCTGAAAGTGAGGTGATACGACAAACGGTGTCTACTCTGTATATAATTTTAGCGTAGTGACGTTGCTCAGAGATTTCACATTACATAGCTATAGTGTAAGTAGACAAAAGATCCTAATACTGTAAGCCGCAACCCAAGACAATTTGATAGAAACAGCTTCGCAATAGTCAACGTAAAACTGTTCATAAAAAGACAATTACTTAGTCACTCACTTTTAATGAAATAAATGTACTTCATTTATTTTTAACTCCAAAATAGAATGCGTTCCTATTTTGAAAGTTATAAACTTTTGAATAAGTTTTTTATAATAAGAATTTGAATATTAATTCATCTAAATTTACAAAATTACTTATAAATATAATAATATATAATTATAAATGTATTTTATGAAATAATTACCGTTGCGTTGCATTGGTGAAATAAAAATAATATATTATGTTCTTTAGTTAATAATTGAATAAATAAATGTACGAGTACGTACATAACACACATCTTTAAACATATTGTGTTATGTTATATGATCCACAATATTATTTCATTCCAGAACAAAAGCTTTCAAAACTTCGCTTGACTAAAGATAATGAAATAAGGATTATATTACTAAATGTTGACAAATAAGATTCCTATCTCTTTTTACGAGAAATGTTTTGTCTATTAGGATTAGGAATAATTTATTTTTTATTATCGTATACTTAGTACTCATTTATATATGTGAAAGTCAAAATTGTTTATTAAATTTTGACATACTTGGTGCATTAATGATTGCCCTAAAAGTCAAGAAAGTCGTGATTAGTGTTAGTACCTACATGCAGTATAATAAGCATGCATGGAATCTTATCCATGCCAGTTCCAGTTGATTATTTGCATTCATAAAAATAATTATTATAGTATAAGCATATATTATCTGTGGTATAAGTAATTAAATATTAAATTAAAAATAAAGTAATTAAAAATTAAGTAATACTTTTTGAAAGACCTTTACTTGAATGTCTTATGTACCTACAATATAAAACACAAATGCCAAAAGTCACTCACTTCATAAGAAAACTGCCACTACTTGGTCACTACTAAACTATTTGCCTTATCCTTCATAAAAGTTATTTGACAGCGAATCTCTCGCAATAAAATTTTCCGAAAATACCAGAAGGTATATCACGATTTTTATCAATTCATTGAACTTTTTTTAAACAAAATTTTTCTAAAGTAACTTGGAATCAATTTTAGTTGCAGTTGATTAAGCTCTTTTAAGCATAATTTGGAGTTACAAAATAGGTACATGCTGTTGCGTCTATGGCTCACATAAAGAATCAAAATCAAACTGTTACAAATTATTTTATGCATCTGTGTGTTGATAAATCAGATAGTAAGCTAGCATAACGTATATTGCATACGAATAAACGTAGAATTGTACATGAGAAATAATACTATTCTTCTATCAAAAATACATTTACCTCTGGTGTCGGGGTCGGGCGGTCGATGCCTCTGTCTACCATTCCACCAACAACCACAACATGGCATTTTCGCAAAATTCACTTTTCAAAACTTATTTTCAAACAATCCATATTAATTTTATTTTTGCCACATAATAGAAGAAGTTATTACGAAAATGATCGCCATATCTCCAATTAATTTTCCAAGTATTTCAAGTTCTCTCATACGAGATAAAGAGAATCCTTGAAAAGTTTTTGAGAGTAGGTTTGAGCCGTGAATGCGCGGAACTTTGTTCTCGGAAGGTACGCTTAACGAACTTTTCCCTATACTAACGTGTATGGTAAGAAAATTCATGAGATGCCACTTCAGTTTACGCAACCGTTACGTTGTTTTCCCGGCATCGTGGCGCGAACTGTCCGGGAGGAGACCGCCTCCGGCCGCACTCAGCGCTCGACTGCGTAAAGCAAGCTTTTCAGTTGGACGCCAGTGATGTCAATGGAGGTTTTCCATTTTCAGGGCCCTAGAATAAGTACTGATATTCTATAATCTCTCAAAGCCTAGGATTCCTTATCAATTTCTAGACGAGCTATCGATTCAGTGGTACGACTGCTACCAACGTTGAGCATTGACAATTGAATATTGTAAATACACATTACTCGTATATTTCGCATAAGCGAGATAATGGAATTTTTGACAAATATTAATAAATATTGATATTATTCTAAATTACCCGATGTATAAATATTTAAATAATAACAGCCTAGAATAAGGATTGCTTTTTCCTATTATGAGTATATAAAATGCAGTCAATAGAAGTGAACACTATTAATAGCATAGATAATTATCAAAACCAGTTCATAATGAGGGCCGTAATCGCGAAAATAATAAAATAAATTACAAATTAATTAAGATAAGAACCTTTTCCTTTTGGAAGTAATTGTAATAGAGATATTTTATACATAAATATAAATTTGACAGATAATATGAAAAATTTATTATTATTATTTATCTTTATATTTCGGACTAGCAATCCGTCCCAGCATCGCACGGCTTTATAGACAGAAAGATAAATTAGTATTTTATAATAGCCTTATTAGCCAAAAGTTTGATACTTTGAGTTACATTATTATAATTTATATGGGAATCTCATTTTTTTTTTTATTAATATATAGTTTATATTACTCGTTGATAGTGTAGCTTTGTTTAGGTAAAATAATTTTTAAAATCGATTGAGTATTTTTAGTTTATTCATTACAAACAAACATAAAAAATGAAATCTTTATCTTTATAATTAGTAGAAATAAGTTGCCAAATAGTAAAGTAAAAAAAAAAGTTGCTCCATAATGTATATTTAAAAGGACGTCTCTAATAGTCCCTAATAACACGATCCTCACGACATTAAATAAATTATATGGTTTCATTTATTCATTTCACTACATCAAACAAAAGTTAAGACAAAGGCAAGAAATTAATATAAGAAAATTACGAGTAGATTTAATCAAAGGAAATAATGAAATTAGATTATAATCCGTACTTTGAAGATTATCTGATTCGTTGCATTTTACAATTATGTATATTCATCAATGCGACTAATCAGTTCTACTGCTGAGCACGAATTCTATCCAATACATATAAAAAAGTTTTCTTTTTATGGATGATAGTGAAATGATAACCCAGTAATAACCCAATAATACGAGCAAAGTCGCGGGATACAGTAAGTACCCATATTCGTACTTAGTGGTTCAGTATTCATAATACCAGACTACTGTTATATGAAAACTTTGTGACGAAATTTGTTAGTCCAACATCGTCATAAAGAACATCACCATCCTCGATTAAAATATAAAATTAGAAACTTCGCATCCCAATTTACACAAACAAAGCACCGAATTATTTACAGTTAGTAGAAAAAAAGAAATAATACTACGGTTTAAAAAGTTATGCACAGTTGTTTTGGTGCGGATGGAATCATAAAAAGCGAGCGAGATACAAAGGATCCTTGTGTAAATTATCTCCAATTTACCAACCCTTAGAAATAGAATGTTTTCCTTAAATTCAAATGGGACCAATTTCATCTCGAAATACTTTAAATTAGACAATAAAAAAGAAACATCAAAATCAGATTATAAAAAGTTATTGGCGTGGTGTACGTACAAAAGTATTGGTATAATAAGTTATTTTTGTTTTTAGACGATTATAATGTTAGACCACAAGAATAAGGGCTATGGATTAAACAGAAACGCAATAATTGCCTTATTTATTATCTATTATTTTCGCTGCATAGCGTGCCGATATAATTAGTATAAAAAATTAGAATTTTCTCTACAAATATAATGGAAAAGTGAAATATTATCATCAATATATCTTTTTCGGATGAAAAAGATATACTCATTAGTAATTAAGAATAAAAAAATATTACAAAGTTTTTTACAGAAAATTGTTTCAGCATTGTTAATTCTACTACTGTATATGTATAACCTTATCTAAGTGATATTAAATATGAGATTTTGTCTATATTTTTATTTATAAACGGCTCTATGTTTGGATGCCCATTATTAAAAGAAACTTTAATAAATTTATATTAGTAATACAAGTTGGCACGTGGATGTTTTAGATTAACATGATCATACTCATCATCATTTTATTGAAAATCATCCGTAAGTTTAATCTGGTCTTTAGTTGTATTTATTTTTTATTGTAAATATATGCACGATGATAGAAATATTATTGAAAAATGAAAATCGTATTTCAATTGTGTGATTGAAAAGCTAAAATACGTTGGTTTTGAATTCATATACTTATACATAGATTTTTATTTATGAGTGTAAGGAACATTATACATAATATAAAAGGGAAAAAGGAAATCTAGAAACCTCATATTACACGAATAGTATTGTTCTATATCAATCTTACTCTGACTTATATGACGGAAGCTATCACTCATTCAGCTAAGCGTCTGGATATCTTACTTAAAAAAATACAGCCACTTTTTCTGATAAGCGTTTTTTTTTATTTCACGATTGTATTACATTTAATGACTACATTAAAAAAATTATACAGGTAATAATAGAGATTTAAATTTACATTCATTTTCACTCTATATTATTTTAAAATACACACTCTAATATACAGTCTGATACTGTGTAAATTTTTACTAATGATTTCGTTTAGAACATACCTATTTAATCGAACTAAATGCAATCAACACATAGAGGAGAATCAAAAACCAATAAGAATTATATAGAAAATATTTATGTCACATTATTATCATCATAGAAATCTTACAGATAAAGTTAAAACAAACTTTACGTACCTGTCGCTGATCCAGTTTCAAGAGGTTTCTTTGTGACATCTTGTTGAATAAGTGTATTTGTAGAATTTTCTTTAGAATTTATTGAATTTTGTTTGACTATCGTCTGTGGGACGGTTTTATTGAAAGGGCTGGGTGAAGCAGGCAAAGATAGTGGTGAAGATAGCTTATAAGGCGAAGTGGGGGTACCTAAATTTGATGGAAGAGACAATTTAGATTCAGAAGACACAAAAGAATTGCTTTTTAAGGAAATATCCGAATTTTCTGGCTCAGTAGTACACAGGACTGTGGGTAAGGTTATTGTTAGAGAAGTGTTTCTGGATGACGCTGCCTCGCCCTCTGGCGTATCAGCCATGTTTATCTGGAAAGAATAAAGTGATCGTTAACGTTACACTAGTTACAGAAAAAGTAAATTTTACAGTACGAGAATTATTATTATATATATATGCTCTATTATTATTCGCGACTGTGAAATAAAATTTAGAAATTTTGCGATTATCTATTTATTTATCAAAAAAAGGTACTCTACATCTATAGTATATCCATGATTTACGAGTTTATCCATTAACTTAGAATGCAGAATTTTTATTTTTAGACAATTATTCGACAAAAACTTATACACATAATAGGTATATGTTCAACGTTTTTATTTTGATATCAGAATCGATAACTCTATTGATGATAATAAGCTCTAGGATTTTGATAACACAATATTATCAGGTTTAACAATGAGTTAAGGTTATACATAAATTATATGGGTGTGTAATTTGTGGGTACGTAGATACCTATGATTTTTATTAGTTGATTTTTGTATGGTAAACGAGGCCTTGGGTTCGATTTGGATCGATTTTTTAAGTTGGCCCAGATTAGTCACATTGTTCCGAGTTTTGTCAGATGTTCGTTGTTTAGTTTTATGTCACAAGTTTATTGATTAAGGATATATGAGAATGATGCCTTTGAATCTTTATTAATTTTGATAATTTCAAGGAAATATGTCTTGGATCTTTCCCTTTTTCAAAAGCCATTCACTCATTAATTCCATATGGATTCCTTGGTTTTGTGGAACCAAAATTAACATATATAATATTAAATTAGCTGTTTGACTCCGATATCCCTATAATCTAAAAAAAAATTACTCTTCTCTTGGGAAAGCCTTGGTTATCCCACTATCAAGTTTGTAATACCATCGATCATGTACCGTTAGAGTATCGTATAAACTCGATGGAAAGAGAAGAATTCGTACGGTATTTTCACCTAAATAAATTAAATATTAACCTTATTTAATCTAAATTAACTGAACCCAAATCAAAAATTTTTAGCATCTCTGTAAATTATTGACGCCCATTAATTCCTCTCTCCGTGAATAGGCATGGTAGATAAAATGTTATCTGAGAAATCAATTCAGGGTACGATGAGGCTTATATACCTAAAGAGGGAGAAAGGGATTGTTAGTAATGCGGTTTAATAGATCCACTGCTAGCAATATACCCTAGCAGGTCGAACCTCCACGCGGTTCCTCCTAGAAACCATCGTGGTCAATTCATGACGAGGCTACCTGACTCGATTTAATTTTCACGCATCATCTCTCACTAGAGCTCTGCCATCGTATATTGATAGCACAGGCAGGGTTAGGTACCTTTCCATTCTCATTTATTAAGAAGATATAGGTAGAAGATAAAAACCCTTAAGAAATAAAAAGAAAAACTATGTCTCTTTATCTAACAATTACTCCCGCGGTTTTTGCATCAGTATACAATGCTATGTATTAAGTTAGGATATAACCTGTGTACCAAATTTAATTTAAATTATTTTAACCTTTTAAGCATATTTGAGTCATCCAAACATCTTTATAAATTTATTAATATTAAGTTGGATTATCTATTTCTGATCAATGAATGATTCATAATGTGTACTTCCGTTGATGATTTTTTACTTGAGAATATTATAATTTTTTACAAGACACCAAAAATGATGATTTTATTTAAATTGAATTACCTAGTGTGTGTTTGTTTTGTCATATCATTGTCATCTTTGAGCCAATTTGGATAATTCTTTTTCAATTTTTAAGGATGTCTTCTATGTTGGCCTTATATGAATTTTGTCACTTATTTATTGTCGTTTATTCTGAAGTTGCCGTTTTATTTTGCGAAGCACCATCATAAATTATATCGTAACATAGTACGTGGGTCGTGTTTAAAATTTCCTAATATTTGTTTTTATGTCACTTGTTTTTAGGCACGCGAAGTCTTAAACTATGTTCACGGATTCTTACAGGGTCAGGAAAGAAAGAAATATACGAATTTGCTTAATAAATCTTATCTACTACTATGATAAAATTGTAACTAGATTTGTTTGGAAATAAATAGGAAGTAAATAGGACATTGGAAATAAATAGTTCCATATGGAGCTAAAGTTATGGAATTCCTTGATGGTTTATCTACCTGTAGATCGAGACAACAAACAATATTTAGAAGATAACTTTAAGAATGTTAACAAGGGCTATTAAATAAAGAAAACTCTGAAATATATATCTAAGAAATTATATATATAAAATGTCAATCTACTTTTACATCAAACTAAAAAATAAATATCTATAATTACAAGGTCAGGTATGTCAATAAAACAAAAACATCTGCTTGTTACTATTTATTTAAAACAATTATTGATATTTGTGATAGTTTTAAATAACGTTTATATTGAAATGATTATCTGAAAAGTAAGTGTTGAGGAAAAGCAATGATTATTATTATCATTATCATAAATATAAATATCAAATTGTTCAATATAGACAGTATTGAAGAATTTGATATTTCTTTACTTAGGTCAGGTACGAGTATATGAACTCGTTTACACATGATTAATATGCTAATTTGAACATATATTTAAAAAACGAAATATAATTAGTAAATACTTGAGAGCCTTCATACCGTAGTTGACCGATAATTTTCAAACACAATCTAACATTTTTCATTATTACAGATTGATTATTTAAAAAGTTCAGTATAAGTGAACTAAAACGTTAATTATAGAATATGTTGCATATTCTGTTTCGGAATTTGTAAATATTTTTTTTATTTTGCCCGTTTAATAAGAACATTACGAAATTATTAATATTTTGTTAAAACAAAAAAATTATGCATTTTTTGAAGTGCCAGAAAATTGTGACGTTAACATACTTAGGTAAGCTAAAGTTGAACATTTTTAAATATTCTTTCTTACTAAACAACCACTTTAGTAGACAAACAAAACTTTGTGTATTGAACATTTTGAGATTATTTAAAAAATAATATGTGTAAAATAAATATTGTTACCATTGTGTAGTTATCCCCTGACGTCGCAACCTGAGGCACGGACTCTTGGACCCCGACGATCTAATTACTTTGACAAATGCCCCTCCCCCTCATCCCTACGCGGAACATTCGTCACGCACACAACCATAACGTACACACCGTTCCAACCGGCGGGGACGATCAGGAATACACCTGAGCGCAATTAGCCGACTCCTCTCCCCTCGACCCAAACCGACTCTCCATCCCTGGCCGGGAATCGTAGTGCAGTGGCCCAAGCCGAGGCCCGAGCCGCCGCTGGCATAGGTAAGAATGGACATTTTGTCGGTCACCCTTTCGCGGGCTTGGAGTGCCATCTGCACTCGTCCCTTCACACGCGCCCGGTGAAGCCGTAAAGGCCATTTGCGGCCAACAGCAAGTTCAAATCGAAAAAAACATCGTGCGGTTACATGTTTAAATGTTTATTTTAAAAAGGCTATACCTATTCTCAATTCAACCGTATTTTTTGTGTAATTACGTTAGCTAATTCTGCAATTATTTTGATGATCATTATTGCTGTTGACAGAATATACACCAATAGTGTTTTAGATAATTATCGATAAAAAATAAAATAAAATGATTACTAATTCCAAATACATAAGAACACTTTCAATTGAAATAGGTATAGAGCCAAAGACCAGGTAGGTTTTCTAAATTACTCCTAGAACACCATTTAATTATATAATACATGATTTAGATATAATATAATCTAAAGAAGATTAAAGCTATTGAAATTTTATTTATTTAATTTTTAGATAATAATTTTCATTGTTCAAAAAAATTGTGTCCGTTTCTTTTGCAGAGAAATTTATATTATACACGAAAATATTAAAACATTCTTGTTACAACATATTATAGGTAAGCCGTTTCTATAAAGTTATTTTTATATTATGTTATCGTTAATAGATAGTTTATCTGTAGCTAGGTAGTAGTAATATCGCTACAAATTAATGCCTACTCTCTCTACATTTGTACGAATATTATTAGTTCAAAAACGTCTATACTAAGTCTATGGTTCAAAGTAGTAACATTATTATAAAAAAAAAAAACAAATTTATCTATATTTTTTTATATTGCGGTTTATGCATAGCCCTTCAGATAAATAACTCTACTACTCTATAGAGTTCACAAACAAGTTACAAAGAGAGCACACACGACCAAGGAATTTATAATATCCTTGGTCATTTATGCTTCTACAAAAAGTGGATGTTAATTTATTAAATATCAATAGAACATTAAAATCATAAAACCTAAATCTACCAACTAATACGACCTCAAAACAAAACATTACAACCAGCGGAACTGGTAGAGATGCTATGGCCGAAAACGACATGAATAAATATAATATAGGTACGTACAAAAGCATAAGACTGCAATATGTAACAGTTGTTTACTGACCTATGGATGCACGACTAAATAGTAAATGTAAACATTTCCTCGAATAATATCACGATTAGATGACCTTGGAAAATTTGATAGTGCTCATGGTAACAACATAGGTTTAGTTATCATTAGGAAGCAGTCTCACATAACGTTATAAACGAACGTCTAGTTCGGAGCTCCCTGCTTCAATCCGACAAACATGAGTAACGACTCTGTATAAACGAAAGAGCGAGACACCGATAACCTAACCACTCCCAGTCTACACTATCGGCCTCTCATTCATTTAGTGCACGATACAATACTTGATAGCATAGGCGTTAATTCGAAGTTCCCTAGTGTTTTAAATTATTTTTATTTAAATATACATCGATGTGATTTTTGTGCTATCTAAAAAATATATAAAAGTGTAACATACAGTACTAAAATGAGTATAAAACAAATATTATGTTCACCGGTGGGACTGAGGCTTAAAGTGCTACATGTTGTGAGAATTGTAATAGCAGCAATTGGAAGAATTTTTTTTAGTTTATATTACGGGAATGAAGGCCAAAAGATTCCACCCATTACAGATGAAATCCTGAAAGAGCCAACCATTGAAGTCGCCAAGAAAATAAGGAACAAGGAGGTTAATTTTTAATATATTTAATACTTAATGTTATTATTTAAATACAAAAGTTAATCCAGTTCTGTTTACAAGCAATTTAAAATATGTGCTTACGAAATTTTCATATAATATGGTGTTATGTTCTGTGAGAAGCTGTATTCTTTTTTTGTATTTATCATCATCATCATCATCATACCAGCCGTTAACTGTCCACTACTGAACATATGCCTCCCCCAACAGAGAGGGCATATTGCGCCTCTAAAATGACAGATGTTAAGCTAGATGCAAATTTATTTATTTATCTATATTTATGCTACATAAGTGTTTTACGAGATAGCTGAAAAGCGCGCTATTAAATATTAGTTATATTCAGTAACTATATCTAATTATAATTATAAAAAAGTGTGGGCTGTAGGTTCATCTATAGATATGGTTAAAGTGTCTGTTTTCAGTCAATAGCGAAGATAAGTAGGAAACCGTTTAGAAACATTGTTTTTTATATATGTATCTTATAGTAAGTGATTTATTGTCTAACATAAACGTAATGATTACTTGCTCTATGTAACATAGTTATATCTTTTTTTTTTCTAGTTTTGCAGAGTATAATAACATGCTAAAATATACGTAGAAATATGAGTCACACTGTTTTATGACGGATGTGTCTGATTTTAGAGCAAATTCGTGATACCTAACGTAATCAAGTCAATAAACTTTATTACCAACTTATTATTGTCTTAGTTCTAATGTGATTTTGAGTAGATATGCTTAATTAATTTCCGTTTGTTGATTACGTATGTAGGTATGCTTTGAAATGTATTCTTATTTTTTTCATAAAATCTCATAGTTTCATATTCCTATGCAGATATACTATTTTCTTTTTTATTCAAAATAAAGATTTTAATAAAAATATTAATCCCATTGCAATTTTGTTCTATCTAGGTATCATTAAATACAACATGCGCCGCCTTTTTTCGATCTATATTAAAATAGCTACAGCCTTATTTTAGATGTAACAATAAAGATTCAGATCACGATCCATCAATGTGTCAAATTTCATGCATTCAGTTGTTGAGTAACAAATATTGAAATATCCAAACATATTTACAAATTTCCTCGTAACATCTAACGTAGCCACAAACGTTCGGTCATTGTAATCAAACATTTAGATGAGTAAGTCCTAAACCTCAATGCTAATGGACTAGAGCTCCAACTAGAATACACTGTGTTATAGACCAAATGCCTGTAGCATATAGATATAATCTAACACTCAGGTCCGAGCCTAAAACTTTGGAAAAGTTTATTTTCTAAATTACCCTGACCTAGAGTCGAACCAGGAAGTTCGTCGAAAAGCATTTGCCTAATACTTGCCATAGAGGTCATCGAAGATAACGTTATTTTTTTTTAGAGTAATGTAGGTAAATAAAAACGTCAAACTTTTTGAATTTCGCCAACCTTCGTAATATTACAGATAACCTGACACAAGTTCAAGTCTTCTCGTGTTTCAAGTATTGAAGAGAACTACTAATATATCCACAATTATAAACATTGATTACAATACAAACTATTATTTCAGGGGGGAAAGGGATTGTTAGTAATGGAGACTGAGAATCCTATTGCTAGCAATATACCCAACCAGGTCGACCTCCTCGCGGTTCTCCCTGGAAACTATCATGGTTAATTCCTGATGAATTCATCATGATGGGCTATCACTAGATCCAGCATCACTATTCTCCAAGAGTATGGTATTAAAAATATTCCTAATGGACACCTATAGAACATTTGCATATTTACGAGAAGTAATATTTCTTACTTTCTTACAAATTTCAGTGGAATTTTAATGTGAGGCTATTCAGAATTAAAAATGTATAAACCGCGTTACTTACATTATAATTTAAGATTTTGTTGCAAAAAACAGCGACATAATCGTGTATAGGTAATTTTATAGAAGGAAAAACGAAAGTAAATACTATTGATGACAAAAAGAATCATCGAAATCGATTCAGAATTAGCGAAGATATAACGATTTTGTTTATAACTTACATATTAAAAACAAGCCGCCACAATGAGAGCCTATTTTCAGAAGTAAAATAAGTGTATACACGTCAATGATCAGCTTGTTCATCAGATATGTAGAACTTTGGATATTGTCCAGATTTTCGCATTGAAGAAAAAGTTTATAATTTTTTAAACGTTATCTTTATGTAATAATTTTTACCTGTGTTAACATTTAACACATAGGTAGTAAGTAATATTGGAAAAGTCTTTACTGTATTTTACAATAAATCTAATTTCGTCAAGTACATAATATTAATTTTTAAGTTTAGAAAATTTGGTAATCTTGCTTGTATGTACGAATAGACATGAATAGGGCCACAAATATCACAGATACTCTAAACACCTCATTTAACACGCTGATATTCCTAAGGACTAGTATATTACTGCTCTCTGTTATGTCGCCTACGAAAAACGACATATTAGACAGCTTTTGTAAATATAAATGAAGGGTTATAACTACAATAATTATAACGTAGCTATTATAAATAGTGTGTTTGTTTCATCCTTATTATACTTATGGAGCTGATTTGTACATAAATAATTTGGAATATAGTTTTTTTCTGGAAAAAAATTCAGTTTAGACAAATACCAACGTGATTTTTATAAGATTAATATAGTAGCATAAAATGTTCGCCTATTTCAGAAGTTTTCGTGTTATTTAAAAAGAAGATTTAGCGAACAAAGAGGCAAATTGTAAGAACAATCTGGCTTTAGATTAGTCCAGATACTCCTAAATAAACTTTTGTTACGCACGTACCAAAGTTTACTTAAGTCTGAAGTCAGAAATTTTCCAAATCAACATCACCAAAGTTGAATATTAACAGGCATGAAACATTGTATATAGTGTACCCAATATAGTATAAAGGTATACATTCACTAGACCAAGAGCATTCGTCTCATTGTAACAATATTTTTCACGTATATTTGTCATATTCTTATTAAGCCGTTACTGAAAATTTGAATATTGGTGGTAAAAAAGTATTTGAAATATTCTGAAGCAAAATATGAAATAGACGCAAAGTTGTTGGTAATAGAATTATATGTAACGTATTCTATGATTAACGCTATTTTTAAATAACGAATCAGAATGAAAATTTACAGATAATTGTGGTGTTACCTCACTCGGTGAGTTAAAGTATGAACGTTCATAATTATATGTACTAGACCTTATGCTATTACCTATAATTTACAATTATTAACATAACAACAATAAATTACAACATGTAACGATGCCATATGCCCTCATATTTTATTATTTATAAATATCTTAACGTAAAGAATTATAAGGGTCATTAAATATTTAAAATCAAGCAGTAAATTTTGCTTATGGATCATACAAAATTTAAAATAAATGTCTATGTCAGATATGTATACAACTTTCCATCAGGTGGACCTTCAGCTTGTCATGCCAAGTTACATAATCATAAAGAATATCTTTATTAAGATTTTTATTATTAAGTTCATAAATTGACTTTTGAATTTTTTTTATATATTTTAAATTTATTTATGTGTAAATTATGGCTATCTCTATGCTACATAAAATTAATAAAAACTGTCACTTAATTTAGCATTAATTAAAACTGTTCTTACTAAAAATAAATACAAAATGTACCTAAAATAGTCATGAATTCATAATATGATATCATCACCCAATTCGCACATATCATAAGTCCTACAATAGATTAGATTGTATACTAAAATGATAGTCGCACCAAAAGGTTTATAACTTTCAAGTATAATACACCTACCTAATAGTGTTACCAGGGGGGAAAGGGATTGTTAGCAACGGAGTTTGACAGCCCCATTGCTAGCAATATGCTCTATTAGGTCGACCTCCACGTGGTTCCCCTTGGAAAACATCGTGAACAATTCTTGTCGAATTCGTCACGCTGGGCTAACTGACCTGTTTCATCCTCACCTATTATCCTTCACTGGTGCCCCGCCGGTGTATTCCGATAGCGCGAGTGGGGTTATCATTCCATTATCACCCATTAAAAATAGTGTTACCATCTTACTTTCATGTAATACAGTTAAATATCATCATTATATATATGTATATACTACCGAACATAGGCCTCCACCATAAGTGGGGGTTTTGCCAGTAGTTGCCATGCTTGGCAGGCTGATTGGTAACTGCAGTTTGGCTTTGGTGATGTTTTAAGAGAAATAATGCTGCCCATCCCTCAACCATTAAGTTCCCTTAGTTGCCTCTTACGACACTCATGGGATAGAAGGGTGGTCCATTCTATGTCGGAATCACACGGCAAAATTAAATCTATACATATAAATAAAATTGGAGTGTCTATTTGTAATATTGAAATAGCCGTTTTTTACTACATATATATGAATATATATACAGTACATACACCAAAATAATTTTTTTTTACAATTTTTGTCCAATAATCTCTGAAATGACTGGACCGATTTTGACGAGATTTTTATTGGCAGGCAGCTGATGTAATAAGGAGTAGTTTATGCTACGTTTATTTTAGAAAAAATCTTTTATTTTACAAGTAATGTTGCAATGTCCAAGTACTGTCCAGTACCGCGCGCAGCTCATGCGCATGCCACCATTGGGCCGTCACGTTGGGCGCCTTCCACCACTTCTCCCACCAACGAATCAATATCAGAAAGATAACTTAATTTGGAACATATTAAAATAAAATGAAACTAATTAGGTATCATAATAAAAAAAAAAAAACTAAAAAATTAAACAATCGACTGTTAGGCTGAACGAAGTTCGCCGGGTCAGCTAGTATAATTACTATTAATTTATATGTTTTACTATATATGTCTGCTATCTATATATGTCTGCGAATAAATTGTAATTTTAACTGCGCGTCAGTGTTATTATATTTAATATATTTATTTGTATGAAGAACAATTAAGTATGGTAAGATAATACGACCTTGAGTAACTTGAAACATTGCTACGAGCGAAAAGAAATCACATTGAAAAACAAGTTACTTATTTCTGATGAGGTAATGTGATTTTATAATGCTGGAAGTAATTTTTTTTTTTAAATATAGGGGGAAAAATCTTTTAATTTGTATTTTTAATTTACGACAAGTTTCATAAGAATGAGAAATTATTTTTATGCTATTTTTCATTAAAGTAGGGAAAATAAATAAGAATCAATAGAGGATTTTTTCAATAAGGCAACGAATAATTATTACGAAATTTTAAACAAAATTTCTTAATAGGCAGGCTGATAAGTTATCCAACTACCAATATAGCCCATGATAGCCATTGCGCGAAGAGTTACATATATATCGATCTTCAATTACATCACGTCTACTGCGTCATGGTCATCGTACAAAAATATAGACTTACAAATTAGATGGTGTTATATATACTTGTGATTGTAGAAACCGGATGTTACACTTCATCATTAGAGCACTTTGCAATTTGTAGGTTAGGTATTCCTGCCTCATCAATTTCACTCAATAATTTACGGTAGGTGCATATAATACATACATATTGTCATCGAGGAACATGCTTCTGTAATGTATTTGTCACGTAACAAGAATATTTGCAATTTAGGAATAGAATTAATATGTATACAGGGTTAAATCGAAGATGTACGTAGAATGAACCCTGCTATGGAATTTATTAGGACAGAAATCCGTTATCGAAAATGCAAAAACGACAAAAAATTTCGAGCCCCCATAATACCTTAACGCGTCCTGTTAGTATGAAGGCTGAAATTTATTTGTCAAATTCTTTGTCAACCCACGTTTTTTTTTCGGGCTAATTTAATTTAAAAACAGACCCTTAAAAGAATCCTTTACATTACATTCTGTATTAACTATTGCAACAATAGAATACCCATCAGTACTGCAGCAAAAACTAGTTTATGATTGCTCTTTATCTGCATTGCCATTGTTTTATTAGATGTTGTAACACTATAGGCAATTAACTAGATAATTGTTTTACAACACCTAATAATCTTTAGAAAATCATGTAAAACGTTTAGCCATTCAGGCGATAGAAATCCATATGCGGTTAGTCTAGGCTAATTCATAATTCATCATCTACATAATGAATTATGAATGCATAACGAAATTAAATATGCAGTTGTAATTATTATGATTCTCATTAATTATTGATGATATTAAATACTAACCAGGTTTCCAACTTGTATCAAAAAGGTGAAGGCACGAAATATTTTCGTCACATTTAAACGGATTTTATATATTTATAATTAAAAATCTGTACTGACAGGGTGGTACAATCTAAATTACTACTTTTAAACAAAGTAGGTTTGTTTATTAAAAATAATGCCCATTCTTCACGGCCAGTGAAAAGTTTTTCTGAAATTATTTAAAATATTAAAATAATTTAAAGATAACTAGTATAGTGGTGACAGAGATCTGACTGGTTAGTGAATAAAAAATTACTGGAGGCATAACAACTGGTCTGAGAACGTACGAAGGGTACCAAATGTCGGTATCATGTCAGCAGGCAGGAAATCATCTTTTGTCTGCCCTTCTAAGTTATATATTACAATTTTCAAATCTTTTTATTTATCCTTTCAGATATCGAGTGTACAAGTGGTAGAAGCTTGCATCAGGCGTATCAAAGATGTAAACTCAGCACTTAATTGTTTTGTAGAGGACCGTTTCGAACTAGCTCTAAAAGAAGCCCGAGAGGCCGACGAATTGATACGTAGCGGTTCAACGCCTATACAACAGTTGGAATTAGAGAAACCTCTCTTAGGAGTTCCCTTCACTACAAAAGACTGCTTCGCTGTAAAAGGTATATTAAAGTCTTTTTTTATGAGATGAAAATGAAATGGTAACCCTGTTTGCGATACCGATATCAGTCAGACAGATTAGGATGAAGTAAGATCAGTTAGCCCGTTGTGACGTATTCACCAGAATTTAATCACAACGAATTCCAGGAGAGACTATGTAGAGGTCGCCTGATGAGATTAGGGGAAATTGGGAGACACAAAAAAAGCTAGTTATTAGTTTTGTATTTACTGTTATTTTAAAAACTATGATACATCTAGAAATGGCAAAGGTCGAAAATATGACACACACAAAAATCTAGGCATGAATATTTTAATTAGCTGATTTGATGTAACTTTTTCATGAAAAACAAATTGATGTAGTTTTATTTATATGAACAATATAAAGTTTACGGACTATAATGTCTACTAGTTAAACATTCTAAATACAGTAATGCTAACAATAAATGTAAATATGATCTAAAATAATATACATCATTTTCGTATATCTATTGTCCGTGTTATTCACGGATGGTGTAATTATTCATATATTTTAACAATAATTTCTCACAAGAGGGAAAAATAATTTAATTAAACAATAAAAAAAAAAACGAACAAGATAAAAACAAAGAAATATACTAAATTGAAACGAAATTTACAATTTGTATAGACCTGAAAAATATCAAAACCTCATTTAATGGACTACTAGGACATTTTATATAAATATTGTTTTAATGGGTAATAATCAGTTAACATGGACTAATGTTACTTAATTTCATATTCAGTTCGTAATTACAGGCAGCGCGCATCGTTCGATTTTACCAGAATGTTGTTCCGTTTTTTCATTAGAATGTTACTACTTATTCTTAAAAAATGTTGATTAACTGAATAAGTTACCCGTATAGTTATACTTTCTTTAGGACCATTAAATTCGGACAATTCTGTGGTTTTATATAAATTTTCTCTTAGGTGTTCGTATTTCCCTCATTCTTCTTTAAATGTTGCTAACACATTGCCGATAGACCGGATACCCATACCTCTCCAACCCTAGTAATGTCTAGTAGTACATTTATACTTTGCATAGAATCAGAATATGTACCTATAATATCTATATTTGCTTTTGATGGCTGAAGTAATTAAACCTTAAAACATTTTAGTGTTTATTTGGTAAACATATCGTAACTTGATAAATGTCAGATGACCATAACGACCTGGTTCATAAATGCATCCTTTCTATTTTAGGTCTACGTTTCACATCAGGAGTTGTACTTCGTAAGGACTTTGTATCAGAGGAAGACGCTGGGGCCATCCGGCTATTACGAGACAAAGGCGCTATAATTATAGGCATCACGAACGTACCAGAACTCTGCATGTGGTAATAACGCCTTCAGAGCCTTATTTATGGATTAATTACATTTAGCACTAGCTTTTTACCCTCTACTTCGTACTCGTATGGATTTCAAATATAGGTAAAACAGATTAAATAGGATGGCGTATCAAGATAAAACATACACCAGTTAAATAACAGATCAGGAACACTACTGTAAAAATTGCATCTAATTTGGTACTATAGTTTTTGCATGACGGCGAAATTAATATACAGACAGACAGGCAGACAAAAAATTCAAAAAATATTTTTTAGCTTCTATTGCCCTTATGAAGACCCCCTCGCATCAATGTTTGTTATTAGATTAGGAAGATATAAAGCATCAGTTATTAAATTATAGAGGTGCATGGCATAAAACTACTATTATTATAAGGTTAGGTTACAAGACTTTCTAGAAAGATTTTAGTAGTTTAAATAAATCACTTTAAATTGCAGTTTTTTCCGCTTGATAACAAGGTTTAAGTTTCGTTAGAAACTTAAATTATTAAAAAAAATTGAATTTTATATTGCCAACTATTAATACAAATACTACCACTAACTGGTATTACTATTGAAGATTCCGTTAGTATTAAAGTTCCATAATTCCGTCAGTCACAACGCTATACTCGCATAGCATAGCATTTCACCAACTTTAAAAGGTATCGATTTGGAATAGATAATGACCCACTTTTTCTGCAAAATTATTTGTTTTGTAAAAATAGTAGGAAAAAACTTCTTAAAATATTTTTATTTCTAAGTCACGACGTTCGAAAAGGTGCTTTATATCCTCATCGTTTTCCCAAAAGCATAATTTTTAACCGACTTCTATACTTGAAATTTTAAATTGTGCCCTTAACGTAATAAACGTAAGTAAGTAAAGGTTTCATCAAATACACTTAAAATATTATTGATAAAACAGGTGGGAGACTCACAATCACATATACGGAAGAACTAACAATCCATATAATACTACAAGGATTGTAGGAGGGTCGTCTGGAGGTGAAGGATGTCTGCAAGCTGCAGGAGGCAGTATTTTTGGAGTTGGTATGTATTAATTTAGCAAAGAAATTAATATTCAACTAACTTTGTCCGCGCTTTATTTTTACTGCTTATTCACGTTACATACACAAGGAACTCTTGTGCAATTTTTTACAATTCTAAAACCACAGTGGTATCAAGTTTTATTAATAAAAAATATAAGTACTTTTAGAAAATTATTTAAGTGTAGTAAAATTAAGTATTGAAAACGATTAATTTTAACTTAAAAAAATCACTTATAAAAATACCAAGCTTGTCTTTTTATCTGGACTTTTCGTTTATGATGATTTACTTTAACTGCATAGTTCTTCACAATACATTGTGTCAGTTTAAGAACCTTTTTAATAATTAATAATAAATTACAATTATTAAATATTAAATTATTTTCATCGTGTATAACATTTACTTTCAGGTTATTTAAAAGTAAATGTTTGACTTTCAGGTTCTGACATTGGCGGTTCAATTCGAATGCCCGCTTTCTTTAATGGAATTTTTGGGCACAAACCATCACGTGGTATAGTTCCAAATTCAGGACAGCATCCTGCACCGGAGACAGATCTAATTGATTCTTTTCTAGGTAAATACTATAAAATAGATTTCTAAATTATTATTATATGTATTACATCTCCCATATCTAGAACTAACAAAATTTTTCATCGTCCCTCCTAACAAATTGTTTATAATTACTCCTCTCCATCCAAAGGTTGCCTGGAAGAGATCGCTTTTAGCGATAAGGTCGCCCATTGTTTTCTCGTTGTGATTATTTCTTGTAATTATTTATAATAAGTTTACTATTGTAATCTTTTAGAGGAAACAATAAAGAGTATATATCTAAATACCAAGAACAGTCCTTTAAGTTCCTTGTAAATTACAATCTTGAATCTTTTTCAGGTGTGGGCCCTATGACAAAACACGCAGTGGATTTAAAACCACTCTTAAAAATAATGGCGGGTGACAACAAAAATAAACTAAAATTGGACGAACCCGTTAATATCGAAAAACTAAAAGTCTACTATCAATTCAGCAATGATGCACCTTTAGTCGATCCTGTTGATCCAGAAATAATAATGGCAATGAAAAAAGTATTAGAATTTCTAAACGTACAACACAAATTGAAAGCTGAAGAAAAGAAAATTGATCTCCTCCGCAAATCTATGCCTATATGGTTGACTAATATGAAAACTAAACAAAAATTTGAGACTCTTATAATGAAGAAGGAAGGTGTAGGTGCCATACTAAAAGAAATTGTGAAAAATATTATCGGCTGCTCTGGTAATACCTTGATAAGTTTATTTACTGCTTTGACTGATCATACAGGAGCGGAAGTAGGAAGCGAGAGACATATCCATTACTTAAAAGTACGTGAAAATCTTGAGAAACTTTTCACTGAAATGTTAGGTGATGATGGCATTTTCTTATACCCTGTACATCCTACACCTGCACCATACCATAATGAGCCATTATTGAGACCTATGAATTTTGCATATACTGCTATTATTAACTGTCTAGGATTACCAACAACTGCTATTCCATTAGGTCTAAGTCGTGAGGGATTGCCAATTGGTATTCAAGTTGTTGCTAATCACAATAATGACAGATTATGTCTTGCAATAGCTGAAGAGCTCGACAAAGCTTTCGGAGGATGGGTAGAGCCTCAAAAATCTTAGATATCCTACGACATTACGATAATAAAGTGGCATTTACAACTATACAGATAACCACACGTTAAATAATCATTCATCATCATTTCAGCCGTTAATTGTTCGCTGCTGAACATAAGCCTTCCTCATAAGGAGAGTTTTGCTAGTAGTTGCCATGCTTGGCAGATGGATTGTTAGATATAATATTATTGTCATAAATGGAATCACTTATTTTTACAGTAAATATTTAAATAATTTCATTTTACTAAGGCTTTTATAAAATATAAAATTACCAGTTTCTCATGGTGTATGCATATACTGATGCATGTAGACCGTGTGTATAAGTTAGGATATAATCTACTCATGTACCAAATTTCATTCAAATCAATTCAGCCATTTAGGCACGATTGAGTAATAAACCCATATCATCAACATCGAAACATCTTTAAATTTTTTAATTCTAACCTTAGTAGGAATAGCATTTAAATAGATTATATAATTTTACTAAAGCTTTTATTGTATATTATATGATGAAATTTATTAAGCATAAATTTTAGAAGATGTACATTTTCTCTCCTTATATTTTTGCTACTTTGTAAGTTAACAAATTCTAATGGCTACAAAAATATGTTCACAATTGTGATTCCAAATAAAATATTTAAATATCTCAGCCTTGTGTTGAATATAGAACATTATTCAAATCTAATATTGAAGAGAACAAGCATACCACCATTTTTGTTAATTATATTCATTCCAACAGATAGCAAAAAAATTAATTGACATGTAAACAACACATTGTGATTCAGAAATAATTATGAAATTATTTTAAAGACTTTAAAAATAATTTATAAATATTTATATATATTTAAAAATAAGTTATTTTACAGCAGTGTTATCAGTCAACCACATTTAGAATAGATGGCAAAATTTTCATAAAGTAATAAATACAAATACTGTTAATAATTTATACTGCCTTTTTCTGGTGCTATTTAAATGTATCGAGGCACAACACAAAAACAACATATATCCATATTATAACTAAATCTAACAAAATAAAAGCGACTGACTAATACTTGTTTTAGATTTAATGATGTCTAAACTGGTAAAAATTGTTCTGTATTTTATACAATTGACTTTAAAAGACCTGTGTGTCTCAAATGAATACTGTACTTTAACTTTGTATCTTAAAAGTTTTGTAGAGAGCCAAATAGGTTATAGTTAAGCTTTTTCTTATTTAAACTATTTATAAAATATAAATTTACAACTAAAATGTCTGTAAAAATAAATATAAGAGTGGAATACGAAAAATCAAAACTGTATTTAAAATAAGTTAAAATTAAAAACTTCTATACAAATAAATGTAATAGCTGCATAAAAAGAATAAATAATCAAGTGCATTGTTAAGCAGAAATGAGCTTTATATGTGTACTGGTACTAAAAATTAAAATTTTAGATAATATCTGTTTGCATGGGTGTTATAAAAATTAATAGTGACTACTGTTTTATATAAATAGGTGTTTAATAAATTTTTACATGGTGGCAAAATAATTATTGTGTTAAAATAATCTGTAGTATATTACAAAGACAATTAAATTGTATTAGTTACAATTTGCAAGGGATTTTATAATTGACAGTATATCTCTTCTCTTTGCAATAGGGTTAACTTTGACTAGCATTTCACAGGATCCTATTTGTCCAAGATTATGTGCATATTCAGCAAGTCTCTCTGTGTTGCTAATGACATGAACTCCACAGTCATAACCATTGCTTTGTTGTAAACATTCTTTGTCAACAAAATTGAAAGATCCTGAAATCCATAATGAACATAATTACTTAAAACTTATAATAACAACCAATAACCCAGAAAATAAGACATATATTGCAAATTTCATTCAATTAAATTAACATCAACTGGGTACATATTATACAATACATATATTATGATATGATAAATATGTTAGAATTGAAAAAAAAATACACTACAAGTATATTAGAAAATCTCTACAGATATTATTATTTATAAGAGAGGCAATTACAATAACTATAGATACCTATTAATTATTTATAAATACATAATAATAAAAATTGGTTATTAGTTTTAAAAACTCATATTAATATAGTTTCTTTTTTAGTTTTAATTAAAGTTAAATATAAAAATTTAGGTGAAAAAAATCAATTTCAAACAAATAAAAATGAGTAGTATAAAGCAGGTGTATGTAAATAATCATACAATTTGAGGATTAATATACAAAATTCACTCACCATTTGAGAAATATGTGATTAAATGACTAGCAAACTCCCAAGCCACATTGTGATTACTTCCTGATGAAGAGTCAAAATGAAAAAAACAGCTCTCTGGACGAGAATAAACTAGAAGACTCCAATGTGATCCCCCTGCTCTATCAGGTAAGTCATTATCATTGAGTGCGAAAAAAACAAAATTCTTTTTACTTATACCGAGTGGCTCTAAGAATGTCTTTATTTCTTCTGTCTGTACCATTTTTATACATTGAGTAACTTCTGGTGATATAAACAGCAATTCACTTGCACTACTAAATAACACTCGTTCAAGATATTCAAAGTAAAATGATATAATTGTATCATTTAGCCAGTATGGCCCATCAAGAAGATCAACATCTGATTTATGTAGTAGAATTTCATGAAAACTTAATACAACTGATGCCTTTGCCATTTTAAGGAAATGTCTTGCAATAAACTTGGATTTTTAATGTACATATGGAGTCCGTAGAATCTGACGAAGTAAAAATAAAAAATGTAACAAACAAGTAAAAACTTAATAGTACTTTACGTTAAGTCCCGTATAAAAATAAGGCATTCCATTAAACTTACCCAGATGTTCTTAATCCATAATGACTGTTGTTTTTCACTGAAATATTACAAAATAAATACAGTTTATGTACACTAACAAAACTATAATTAGTGTTTTTAATGAATAATCAATTTGTTAATTCACCTTATAATCAAAACTACAGTTCTCGATAGAAGCAGTTTTTAAGGATTTTTGTAATAACTTGTAAATTAAAATTCCTTTACGCACAATATCACAAATAAATCAAATCAGATGAATTGATAAGTAGGTACTTATTAAATTAGAAGATTCTGTCGGATTCTGTGGTGAGATTACATCACGAAACAATTTATGTCAACCATCAATGTCATAAAATGTCACTGACAGCTTTGCCAAATAAGATTTTAGATTTCTACCAAAATGGCAAATATTTCTTCTCCAAATTAAAATAATTTCCTTCATGTTTCTTCAGTTTGCCATGTAACTATTATACGATCGAGAAGAAAATACGCTCTTCTTTACTATATATTTTAAAAATACAAAAACCGTAAAAAATGTTCAAATTTCTTTTTTCCAACAATTTAATTTCTTCAAATTTAGTGAATACAAAAATGTTTACTCAAAATTACGAAAAATATACCTTATTTGGCAATGGTGTACAACTGATCATATCCAAAGACAGTAAATAAGTTAATCCTTGTCCTTATGTTACATTTTTGTTCACCTAACATGTGCATATTAAAGCTTGAAGCTTGATTTGCAATATTGGCTGATTCCTTATTAATTAATGATAAAAATAATTTGAATCGTAATTATGATCTAATATAGACTTTTTCATTAATATTATGAAGTTTAGGTGGGATGTAAATGGGCTAAGTTTAGACCAGAGGGAGACTTTGTACAAAAGTCGATTGCTTGGGTACCGTCTGTCTCATTCGTACTTCAACCGTGAAGCAATTGTGTTTGCATGGCTGTGTTTCGGTTTGAAGGGTGGGATATGGCGTGAATTTACTGGGTACAGAGGAATAACACCTAAGTCCTCAGGAATGGCAACGCATGGGGGTATCATGGGCGAAACAGTATACTCTGTTATGTCCATGGTACTGCTCAAGTCTATAGGCGACGCAACGGTTACTACTTTCCATCAGGTGGGTAGTCAGCTTGTTTGCCATTCTAAGTTGTATAAAAAAAATTATGACACGAGCGGTAACGTCCGGTCCCCAGAAGGCCGGTGACAGTTGAAACATTGTTGTTGGAAGTTGTAATATCGTTTCTCTATAAAACAATGTTGCCAAACTAAAAAAAACTATCATGAGGATCATGGCCATCTTGAATAGACATTGTGACAGTCAAAGTTATGGCGCCATTTCAAAAACAACGCATTACTTATAAATATGTTTTTATTTGTATATTAATATAATTACTAGTACTGTATTATATTATCTATGATATAACTAATAAATGATAAAATTACTGTACTGCATTTGTCTATAAAATCCTTTCTAACTTCGTAATATTAAATAATAAATTTTAACTTTTTTATATTTATTGTATTTATTTGTTTCTATATTTTCCCACATCCTTTTTTCTACTTTTCTATCCTATATTCTAGTTCCCAAATAACCTCTATTTTGATTCGCGTTGATTTCACAGTTTTTATACTTGGAAATTAATCATGAAATCCTAAAAAGCCAAAGCCAAGAAAGTAACAAAAGTGTTATTGGTTTTATTGTCCATGTTTTTCGCAAAATTCCAAAATTAATGTCATGAATAGCTTAGTTTTTAGCAACTATCGATATCGATATTTTTGATGAAGACTTGTATAGATAATAGTTAACATTATTGATTTTCCTGATTTCATTAAATAAGGCCGGTGATAACTCTTTTACCGTACTGATTATTTACTTTTTTGTGGTCCCCATCAAAGAGCATATAACTTAGGAAAAAAAAAACCGCATTTCATACAAGCCACGTAAAACGACTTGGTCAGGAGCGTCTCACAAATTTACACAAAAAATTCTCCTTGTCTCGTTATGTTAGCTGGTCTAATGTTCAAAACTTAAACGAATAGGGTTATAATGATGCTATAATTAGACAATTTTTCGATAATAAATAAATATTTTTCACTGAACCGGGAATCATGTGATAAAAGAAATAGAAAATTTTTAAGTCCAATTGCACGTTCCGATGAACATTATTAGCAAAAATGAAAATAAATTCAGATCTCATTTTTATAATATTATTGATAGTAAACATAAGTTTTCAATACTTCTCGTAATATCTGGTCTATTTCTACAGTAGACCTCCTGATACAGTCAATATTAATTGTAAATAGTCGTAATTCCCACATAAAAAAAAAAGAAATATGAAATGCATAGCTAAAATTGTTCCACGAATAGTTTAGACGGCAGCCATTTGCATCGCATTTGACAATATTTTTGTTAGTCTTGTTTGCACTATTGTGATTTCTTCATTTATTTAATAAATTTAACGTTGGCATAATGTTGTCTGACCGAATTCATAAATTAAAAGCCAGTATGAAAGTTACGCAAGACTGGTCCCTAATATAAAACGTTCACCATAGTCAATACTTATTAGTGACTAATTCATAAAGAAATGTAATATGTATTCCAAGAGGGATCGCATGTAGATCTGATAGGGTTTACTGCTAACAAAGTAAGGGTAACAATGGGGCTGTTAGATCCCTATTACTAACAATCCCTCTTGTGGGGAAAGGGATTGTTAGCAATGGAGTTTGACAGCCCAATTGCTAGCAATATGCTCTATTAGGTCGACCTCTCCGTGGTTCCCTTGAAAACTATCGTAAACAATTCTTGTTGAATTCGTCACGATGGGCTAACTGGCCTGTTTCATCCTCACCTATCATCATTCACTAGTGTCCCGCCGGTGTATACCGATAGCGCGGGTGGGGTTACCATTCTATTGTCACCCATTAAAAACACACTCTCTCTTCCTCTGCCAGCGAACTTGATGCTACCCTAATAAAGCTACAAATTTAAGAAAAACTTAATATATATTATGAATTAGATCAACCTTTTGTCACTTGATCGAAAGTGGCGAAAATGTTAAGCGTTTCTGGGATTTAAACCATCTGGCGATTTGAAAGCAATCGTACTGTCGTATTATATGAAATTGCCTATTTGTATTTTGAGGCCATTGCCTCAAAAGTATAATTATGTAACATAACAGTCAACAATCCTATTTCTAGACATGGATATATAAGGATATTACTGTTTCATCATTATATCAACCTTTAACGGTCCACTGCTGAACATATTTTATATATTTTACTATTAGAAATTTTTTATTATTAATTATTTAATCAATTTTTTTATTAATAAGGCCAATAGTTTAACCTATAAAATGGGTTTTCTCATAAAGGATAAAATAGGAAATGAAATAAGAAACTAACATAAAATTTCTTTTATTAAAATTATAATAATTTAACTATTTCAATGGTAACAGTAATTGTTTCCTATATGGAAACTGAAATATAATCCATAATATATAAATAAGGTAAGTATACTACAAAAATGAAAACTAAATGTGACATCTATTAATAATTTAATAACATTAAAACCTTTCACAACATTGTTAAGCTATGAGTAATCAATTCTCCACACAATGTCTTGTACTCAATGAACATGGTTAAAACTTGACATGGCAATATTTATTTACTAAATGTGTTATGCAATTTTAACATTGCAAAATACACTTTTGATGATACTGATTGGGCAAAAAATAGGAAGAAGTTTCCAGAAATATAATGGAAAATACCTCCTACTTTGTTTTCTTTTTCTAGATTGAGATATTTACTTAGTGGCCTGTTTTAAGTAAGCGATAAGGTCTGCACGTTCATTGGCCTTCTTCAAGCCTGCGAACACCATTTTAGTTCCAGGGATGTATTTCTTGGGGTTCTCGAGGTATTCGAAGAGAGTGTCTTCATTCCAGGTGATACCTATAATTAACATTTAGGAATTAGCTGTTATTCATACAGGATATTACAAGTATTTTACTAAATTAAAAGGTATAAAACTACACACAGTATGGATGAAAATATAGATATGTAAGTAATTAGATTTGATTATGTTTAATTTAATTAAAACCAGACAGTGAGTATTGTATAAAGACAATCTAATATACTTGATTTTGCAGGAGTTACTTGCAACAGATAACTGTTACAGTGGATCCCCTGTACAAATGACATAATGAATCTATGAATTGATGTGATTATGTGACATTTATTCATTCATTATTATAGATAAAATATAAGATAAGTTTTATTTAATGTTTGAAAGAGTAAGACACTGTCGATATCTCATTCTATTTCATGGATTTGTTAACATTTCCATGGATGATATCTTTGCTACTTATATGGAGGGGCCTGTTAATCCTGTTACACTGGACAAGTGATAAACGAATTTCTTGTTAAATACATTATTGCTACCGCGTGCATGTGACAGAACGAGACAGCAAGGGCCACCATCTCATTCTTTTTCATGTATATCCTAACGGAAAACTTATCTATGCAATTAATTTATTGTCACTGCTTTGAGATAGATATATATTAAATTTATGATGTACTACTAATACACCAATATTGTAAATTTACTATAGAAGGTACCAGATAGATTGCCAAATGTTCTAATTCAAATAGACTTCTTTTGCTTTATCCAGATGCATATCTACTTGTAAGAGCTACTCAGTTACAAATATTTTTTACTATGCCTTCTTTGAGAAAGTTACCTAATTAAAGATTAGTTGATAAAATTCCATTTTAAAAAGTTTCTATTCCTTTAAAAATGTAAATACTATTTATTATTTGGGAGTCGAATTTACATTATATTACTATGTACTATTTTTTTTATATTTTTCTAACTACTTGCTATATGTTAACTATCCAGATATGTAAAATAATATGATGATATCAAAATGTTAGTACAAAAGTACTTAGTTTTTAATAAAATCATATATATACACTATTAAAAACCTAATTTCTAGTTCTAGATCCAAATAGTTGTTTGATGTGTAAATTTTATCACTATAGAACATGATTAAAAAGCCCTCTTTTCTAAAAATCATAGGTAATTGTGGTCTCTTGTCATAAAATAAAATAAATTAGTAATACTCCAGATATCACACTAATATGATGTTACTCACACATATTAAAGTAATGTATGTTACTTACTTCCTTAAATCTCTAAATGCATTAATTATATGTTATCAGCTAAAACACCTTGATATAGTTGGATAACCTATAATATTTTATCAATGATTGATGTATGATAATGTAGTACATATATGTTTGTTGTCCCAACTTAGTTGCATAAGTGGTGAATCATGTTATGGATAAATGAACATAATAATGTAATTTAAAACTATGTAAAAAAATATTAAGATAAAAAAAAATTGTAGTAGTTTAATATAAAAAAAGTAGTAAATTTTGATATAATATCCTATTATGTGTCTTTTGTTACAATTTAAGTAATTAAAAAAAATTATTATAATTATAGATTGACTTATGAATAACGTTAAAGATAAAATATTATATAATTTAATAGTTGATAGTTCTAATTTCCACAATAAATTAATTATATATACCTACATTGATAATATACTGATGTATAGATTAGGTACTTTTTATTGGACTTTGATCTATACTAAATAGGAAGTTACATTATCTTTATCATAAAATTAAGTTCATAGTTCATGTATACATAATTAAATTACCTTTAGCCTTATTGGCATCTGAGTATGAAAATCCAGCTGCCTGACCAGTCTTGCGACCGAAGAAACCATTGAGGTTGGGACCTACTTTGTGTTTGCCACCAGCTTCTACCTGAAAAATTAAAAGTTTTAAGTGACTTAGGATGGAAAACAAGGTAATGCCCCATTTAGTGAAAAGTGGTAATCATTACCTGCTGACATAGACCCCATAGTAATGTCATGTTTATTTATTGCCATTAATGAATTTTACCACTAATGAAATTTTACTGTCCTATATCCCATAATGTGAATTAATAACAGAACTTATTAGATAGATTATATATCTGTCTATCAGTACTTATTTATATTTAATATTAAAATGCATCCTCATATTACTTTTGTTAAATAAATTAAAAAAAAAAAGGATATATTTATATAATTTTAAAACTCCAGTAATTAACTCAACAAATACTATCTACTTATTAGAGTACAAATGTATGATGTATCACATAAAAATATTAAATACTTCAAAAATAGGTTTACAGTTTTGATTTTATTCATATTATTTAGGTCAACATCTATTCATTCAGTATGTAATATATAGTTTTTTATGCTACTGTGTGTGTAAACGGCAAACAAGCTGACAGTCCATCTGATGATAAGTGATACATGTAGCCAACAGACACAATTAATACCATTGACTCCACAGATAATATTATGAAGTTCTGTCAAAAGTACACCTTATGTAATGAATTGTTATACCATTTAATGTAAGATAGAGATCTATGCAGGTGTATGATACTGTCTGTATACAAAGTTCTATAATATCAAATAGTTATTACTAATTTCTGAAAATGTGAAAGCATATTAAAAGGTGGAATTTACATATTCAATAAATAAAAGAAACTAACTGAAACTTTATAAAAAAGTTATTTTAAAATATCAACATTTTTATTAATGAAAATAATTAAAATATGAAGATATAATTTTAAGGAAATAAAAAAAGAACAAGCTCACAGCCTGCCTGGTAGAATGTGGTAATACTTATGTACCCATACACATAAACAGCACTTTGGACATACAGCAGTAAGCATTGTTATTTCAAAGGATTAATATGTTTTTTATATAGTTATTTTACTACAATTTAAAATATTATCAGTATGGGTGCTTGAGAACTAAAAGTCTGAGACGCATGTAACCATGAAAAACACTTCATATGAATTTTTGTTTAAATACATAAATGGGACTTACTGTGTGGCACTGTGCACACCTCTGGACGAAGATTTTCTTTCCATTTTCAGCATTTCCAGCAGGTACACCCATTTTTTTCTGGAAATTATATATTAACATAAATTATACACTTATTCAAAATTAATTATACTGAGATAATAAAAAAACATTTATTTTGAGTCAGACTATAAAACTGTTTAATGTAATATAATAAGGAAGTAATTACATAATTTTAATTTCAAATAATGTTGTGGAATTATGTATTAATTACCTATACTATATTTAAATATGTTATCTAATAGTTATCTGAAATAAATTTCGTATTCCTAATTGTAGCAGGGTAATGACATTGGAGTTCCGAAACTTGATCTGGAATTAGGGACATAAACGTCAATTGCCATTTTTCATCAAAGTATATTATCTAACATATGAATAGAAATGAACTTGGTACTGTTGATTATACAACGGAATCTATTCCAAGACCTAAGTATGTCAGGATCAATGTCATTGGTATTCTGAAACACAAGGTATCGTAATGACATCATTACGTAAGTGATACTAAATATTGAAATTTACTAAGAAATTTTAAAATGTAATTATAGAAAAGTATTACATATTTAGAAGAACGCTTTCTTGGGCTATAATTAGTTCATAACTTTAAAATAACATGATTATTAGATTTTTTAGAGGTTACTTACACCTATAAGTTCGTGTTCACGTCATAAGATTAAATTAGTTTCTGTAATACATGTGAAATTATCAATTAAATAATTTTAGTCACAATAGTAGTTAAATTAAATGTGTACTTACTTTTTAGAGTTTAAAGAAAGTCAAAATGTAATTTTTAAGACCAATGTACTGGTTCGATTTTTGCCCAATGACACTTTCGTAGCGCTACGATCACACGACTGAAAACGAGGGCGGCACGAGGTCAAACGAAGCATCGGAGATGACTTTTTTTTTAAGAAGATTATTTCATTATATTATTTTTATGCAGGTACTTATGTAAAGATAATTTTTTTAGCAAATAATGTATACAAATATATCGGAAAAATTCAACATAAAATATTTTAATTTCTTGTAAAATAATTTTGGTGTTGCCAATGTATGAGAGACTAAATAGTACACTAATAAATGTATAGGTGGCGCTAAGGATAGAATTTAAGAAAATCATACATTAAAGAAGTGTATTATTGGGAAAACTGCTTCAAATTTGGAAATCTTTTTCGTTTGTAACTCACTAAATAAGAAATTTAAGAAGCATTTTTTTACACATTAGTTTCTAATAAGGACACTATGTTTATGATTTTAAATATTTTTTTATGGCCCTTTGTTAACCAATACTTTTATGCAAATCTATGTGCTAATTCTGTTTTAAGATTATAAATAGGTACATTTGCATGCCATATTAGAATGAATATTCATAGATGTACTTCAAGCAGCATTCGGAAGAAACACGTATCAATATTACGTACCAAATTTTTTTCACTCTAGTTTTCTACAATATACCCTTTTTCTATTACAATTTAACCTTATAAGTAACTTTAAATTATAAGTAATTTTATTGTAACTTAAATTTATATAGAGTAATATTGTGTATATACATATCTGTCACGTTTCTCTCTGATTTTTTTTTCAATGGATGATAATGGAATGGTAACCTCGCTTGCGCTATCGGTATACACTGGCTGGGCACCATTGTGGGATGATAAGTGAAAATGGAAGAGCAGATCAGTTAGCCCATCGTAATAAATTCACCTGGAATTCAGCACGATGGTTTCATTCAGGGGAGATCACATGGAGGTCGATCTGGGGTATATTGCTAGGAATGGAACTTGTAGTTCACATTACTAACACCCCCCCCCCCCCCCCATTAGGATAGACAGAATGTGTCCAATAATATTTATTTATTAATTAGTACATATATGTGTACATGGCGGACTTAATGCTAAAAGCATTCTCTCCCAGTCAACCATAGGGAAGTGTCAGAATATTCGAATGCGGTAATAGTAATTATTGATATACGTACATACTAAAATTACATATATAAATGATAATAACAAATATACTTACACATATATAACTTATACTATATTATATACGAAATTGAGAATAATATAAAGTAATATCATTTTATTAATGTCTCCACTAAGGCCGTTACAAGGGAATACGACAACGTCTGTTCCGTCGCTATTTTTTGCTCAAAGGCGCCAGTTGGGCTAATAAAATATAAATAATTTAATATCTTAATGATTTAAGTGCTAACTTAAGGTATTTTGTAATAAGTAGATACCAAACTACGTATTTACCCATACGAATATATTAATTATATTTCCACTCTCGAAATAACTATCAGTAGTACCTATGGAAAATGAAATTACAATGATGTTAGATATCACGGACACGGGGATCATTAATTGTATCCAAAATTATCTGTGATCTGAAGGATTCTATTTAGATCTTGATGAGGGTCTTACATTAAATGATCAAATACTTATATTGTACAGGACAGTTCGTTTTGTAATATATCGTAAGATTTTCTTATTTTCTTTTTTATTATTCCTGTTTAGTATGTATCGATGTATGTATCTACTTATTTATTATGTCTAGGAATACTGGACCAAAATTAACAAATGACGTATCGTTCTCTTTGCCTTAGGTCAAAATGACTTCAGTACAAGTTACTATTGTTTTTTTACTATCCCATGGGAACTTTTTAATTTGATAAAAAATCTAAAATGTTGACCGGGGATGTAAAGTACCACCATGCAAAATTTCATTTAAATCGGTCCAACAGTTCCTGAGATAAGCCCGTACGAACAGACAGAGAAGCAATAAATTTGAAAAAATCTGGATGTGTTCTATTACACTTCTAACATCCCCTTGACTCCGTTTTTAGCGTTTTTTTTTTCTATGTACAAACATTCGACCTCTATAGTTTTATTATATGTATATACTTATATAGATACGTACCTATTCGATTTTTTTTATTTCATTTTGGTACAAACAGTCATTACGAAAAAAATATGATTAAATTTTTTTTATGTTATATAAAAATAGACAACGAGTACCGAAATATATACAATAGTAGAAAATTAATTAGTTAATTGACAAAATTAAACCATACACGTATAAAGTACCTAAGTATATACAGGGATAAAATGATGTAGTGATGAAATGATTATACGAGGTTTGTCCGGAAAGTACGTATAAAAGTTTTTTAAAAATTTTATTTTACAATTATTCAGGTAAATCAATTTTATCCCCTTCAAAGTACTCCCCCTGTGACATAATGCACTTGTGCCAACGCCGTTTCCACTGTGAGAAGGCTCCTTGAAAGTCCTCTGGTTGTAGGTTTCTCAGCTGCCCCGTCGTAGCTTTTTTTATCTCATTTATGTCCCCCAAATGCCGCCCCCGAAGTACCAATTTGGTTTTTGGGAACAAGAAGAAGTCACACGGGGCCAAATCCGGCGAATAGGGGGGTGTTCGGTCACCGTAATGGAATTTTTACTCAAAAACTCACGGACAACAAGAGAGGTGTGGGCAGGGGCATTGTCGTGGTGAAGAATCCAACGCCCCTCTCGCGCCAATTCTGGACGAACTCGTGCCACACGACTGTCTGACCGTTAAACGACGGTCCCCATTAACACAAGTTCGAATTCTTTCCACGTTTTCGTCGGAATGTGAAGTGGAAGGACGTCCTGAACGTGGGTCATCTTGAACGCTTTCTCGGCCCTCTCTGAATCTTTTTAGCCACTTGTGGACGGTTGGTTCCTTCACAGCATCATCCCCATAAACTGTTCTGAGATCGGCAAAAATTTCACGGCCATTCTTGCCGAGTTTCGAGAGAAACTTGATTACGACGCGCTGCTCTTCAACGGAAGCGGGCTCCATGCCGACGGGGTTTCGTTAAGAGGTAACTTCACAGATGGCGTGACAAGCCAGTTCGCACCGCACGGCGGTCAGACCAGAACTGAAGCATTGTTAGGGACATAAGGAAGGGGTCCTGCGCTTACCTGGCCTCCCCACTCCTCTTTCTCGCATTCCAGAACACTTTTATACGAACTTTCCGGACAGACCTCGTATAGAAAAAAACTGATACATAGAGTTGTAGATAATTGGCATATATGGCTTAACAACACAAATATTCTTCAAACATTATAAGTAAATATAATATCAAAGTGAGAACAGGAACACCAACCCATCATTAAAAAAAAAGAAACTTATTTACACTAATTGATATTGGTTTATAAGGAAAATTAGTTTAGGATAAACCCAGGAATATGTAACTTACATATACTCACATTCCTAGACTTATTTGTTTTATATTATATGTAGTTTTAAAATAAATTACTCCAACGTCGAACTTATTTATTCTGACAACCCAGATATAATTACTTTATATCAGGCAAGTATTCCCAATCTTACTTCGATTTCATATTCTAAAGACTCTTCCTTTTATGAAAGATAAAATATTGTATATTAGAACTACACCGCAGCCACTGGTAATTTTGTTTAACCTAGGGTTTTTTGTAGTAGGGATGATATGTACCTACTTATACATTTGCAAATATTATCTATCAGTGTTCTAGTATCATAGAGATAGATTTTTAATGGGTGATAATGGAATGGTAACCCTACCTGCGCTATCGGTATACATTGGCGGGGCACCAGTGAGGGATGATAGGCGAGGATGAAAGCAAGTTAGTTAACCCATCGTGATGAATTCCACTAGAATTAACCACAATGTTTGTATAACAATACTGCAATTAGAACTGGTTTTGCGAAGTGTTTTGTTAAGTTTAAATTTAATATTTTGGTTTTGATTATGGATAAATGTTTGGCATGCAATATCGCTGTTGAGATAGGAGAGATGATCCGTTGCGACCCCTGTCAGGGAGCTTACCATTATAAATGTCTAAATATGGACTCAAACACTTATATGACTTTAACCAACAGCAGTAAAAATTGGAAATGTCCTACTTGTGTAAATGTTACGAAGCGAAAGGGTAGTAATATGAACACCCCTATACGTAAGCTTCATGCGCTTGATGATTCGGTTATGTCTTGTGATGATACAATAAACCAGAGTGTCTGTGCGTCTGAATACCTGAATTCCGAATCTATTACACTGAATCAGTTTAGCACTTTATTGGATTCTAAGTTAAATAAATTGAAACTGGAATTTTTTGCTGAGATTAAGGTGGCTGTAAAAATGGAAGTTAACTCGGCCCTTGCATCTTTAAAGGAGGAATTTACTTCTACTGCTGACCTTTTGAATCAGAGGCAGGATCAAATGAATTCGCACTTGTCTTCGATAGATGATAAAATTAGGGATTTGGATGAGCGAACACATATAATTCAATTGGATATTCGAGATCTAGATCGTCGACTAAAATCAAATGAGAAGGTATCACGCAGTATGAACATAGAAATTCAAGCTATACCAGAAAAACGAAACGAGAATGTTATCAACATATTTAAAAAGTTATGCGATAAAATAGGTCATTCGATAATGGACTCGGATATTTATGCTTGTCGCCGCATTGCTAAAATTAATAAGTCTGATAGACCGCGCAACTTGTTGGTAACTTTGCCTTCATCGCGCCATCGTGACACTATCTTGTCAGCAGTTAGAAGGTACAATAATGCTAATCCCACCGATACTTTGAATTCATCTCATTTAGGAGTCGTTGGCGAGAAAGTTAAGATATATGTGGTAGAACATGTATCACCTGAGTGCAAAAGTCTGCATGCTGCGGCAAGAAAAGCAGCAAAAGAAAAATCATATGCTTTTGTTTGGATCAAATTTGGTCAAGTTTATATGAGAAAAGACGAAAAGTCACCTGCTATTTTAATCCGTACTGTTGATAATCTATCTAAACTTACTTAATTATTTTTATTTTCTTCACTTGTGTTTATATTTAAAA